TTACCAGAGAAGTTTCATAGCCTCACAGTCCCAACTAACTTATCTTTCTGAAGATTCTAATCTCAAAAATATGGTTATATATCGCCGCCTACCTCCAAAACCCCGCCACTATGTCTGTGTGCGCAGGCGCTGGGAGCGCTTGGTCAGGACACGCTGCACACCCTCCACCTGAGCCTGAGCCCGTGGCACTGCTGCCAGCCCCCTCCATGGCATGCTGGGCTTGGCCCCAGAATTCCACGCCCTTGCTGGGAGTCTTTCTCTAAACTTGGAATATGGTGACTACACCACCTGATGATCAGAATCTGTTCTAAGTTATTAATTATGATCAATAATTCAAGATTTGCATGTTGCTGTACGCTAGTTAACAGTGTTAAATGGGAAAAACAGTCAGTTTTCACAAGCCTTATCAAAAGATGACTTGCTAGACGCTCCAAGGCTTTTTCATTTCTTTTTGATTGTCAAATGCAAAGTGTAAAATTGAAGAGGAGTGCCAAGCAGAAGGTTGTGCATGGTACATGGCGACTGCACAAAATCCACAAATTTAGGGTTAAGCACAGAAGCAGGAAAGAAATGAAATCTCATAGCAAAGGGAATGGAAACTACCACATGGAGGTAAAATTAGCATTAAAACTACTAAGGAGATGAAGCCAACTTTGCTGTTCTCACCACAGGCTGGCAGGCAGTGCCCCTGCCAGGGGGATCAGAACTTGCTGAGTGCCATATGTGACTGACTGGACACCATGCCATAACTGCAAAGAAAATCTAATTCAAATTGACTCAATGCAAAGACAAACACCTTGATGACGCACATGAAAACATCCCAAAAGGCAAAACACCCCGAAGTTCTAACCAATAACTAGCAACACACAGCATTTCAGAACATGGTATGAGACGAGTACAAAGGTTCCCAATAATTATTCCCACGTATTCTGTATTTTTTCCTTGTATAATACATAGAGATTCTGCACTGAAATACAAATAGATAGGACATACAGATTGAATACAGTCTCTGTCTGTTTACAGTAATTCCATCCTCTGCTCTCTCTCAAAACAGCCCAGTCTCCTTTTGGCCCCTGTCCCCTGGCTCCTCAGGGCCATTGTTCAGCTCCCAGCTCAACTGCAGCAAAACAGCTCTTAAATGTGCTGTAGAAATGGTAGCACTTTAATGCCAGCGCTCAGCATAGCAACCAGCCACTCTAAATAAATAAATAATGAAGCCTGGTATTCCAACAGATAATATAAATACACCTTCAGCAAATTTCTTGGGTCCAAAGGTCAATCAACTTGTTTGCTCTGACTCCCAGAATGTGTAAATCTCAACATGATGTTTAAACACAAACACAGACAAACATCAAAGTTCAATGCTGACATATTTTACACCTCAGAGTTACATGCCAGAATAGCTCTGTACCACACAGAGAAAACTGTAATGCATGTGTAAGGAAGTGATAAAACCCTATCCTGAACTAAATCCAATTTTTTTTCTTTAAATAGCATCTCATTCTGTATTTTTCCTCTTCTTTCTTCTCTATTTATTCTCATTCATCCTCTCACACAGAGAAGTATTTATGCAGCTGTCTAATTTCACCAGTCCTCCCCTAAATTACCAATAAAAAGGGAGATGAAACTTTCCATCCTAACACTCATTTCAGGGATGTGTGTTTCTGCATCCCTGACTGATTCACAAATAGGAACATACCTGTATTTACAAAACCACGACATTTCAAGGTAAACCACCAGTTCCTGAGCAAGAGCATGGACCCACCAGCTACACTGGCACTTCTGGGCTGCTGTGCAGACCAGCCACTCTCAGCCCCTCTCCTAAAGGAAATGTGCAAATAAATAATTCCACAGCTTCCACTCAAGCTGTGCTCTTCTAGCCGGGTTCTCATTCATTTTCCCCTTGAACAGCTCTGGGCTGTCCAAAAATGAAATACAAGGGACTTCAGGAAGCACAAGGAATTAATTTCACCAATGGAAACCCAGCAGGGTGAAAGGGAACACTTCTCCCCACTGTCCCAGAGCCACCTGCCCCTCTCCTCTGGGAGATCCTGGCAGATGAGGGCTCGCTGTGCAGGATGCCCATGCCCAGCAGTGCCAGGAAGCAGCAATGGAAGTGAGCACCGGCTCCATGCACAGAATTGCTCAGCTCTCCTTCCCCTGCCGCAGGAAACCTGGGCTGAGGCAAAACCCTGTCCTTTGTCAGCAGAGGGGGATTCACGAGGGGGATCTTCCTCACAATCGCGTTTGCACGGCTGGGATGGGGAAAGGCAGGACGCAGCGAAGGAGGAGCGGGCAACTTCTGAAACGCAACTGATGCAACAACTCAGTCCTGCAAAAGGAGAGCTTCTCTCGCCTTTTCCCAGCGATCCCACCTAGAGGTGGGGCAGCAGGGCTCGGTGGCAGAGCAGCAGGTGGGCTCTCCCCCTCCCCTCCCGGCTCACCTTCCTGGCTCCTCTCCTGGCGAATTCCCGGGCCAGGTGCCGGCCGATGCCGCGGCCCCCGCCGGTGACCAGCACGTTCTCCCGGGACAGGTCTCGCAGCTTGGGCGGCAGCACCAGGCACACGGCAGCTTTCACCACCAGATACACCATCTGCACCGGGAACAGCAGCAGGGCGCCCAGCCGCTTCCAGATCATCCTCTTCTCCCAGGCAAAGTTCTCTTCCAAACCGCCACAAAACCAAGGTGACAGAGAAAGAAAAGCAATACCCTTCATGCACCCCCAGATGGGTGACAATTCTTCAACCCCCTTCCAAAACTTGGGGGCAAGAGGTTCTTGGATTGGAAAAATCCTTCCCTCCCCCTAAAAAAAAAATGGGGGTAGGAGTAAAGTAGTGCAGAAGACCAAGTCACTCCCTGTTTCTTGATCGGTGTCCTCTGGGATTGTCACACGCAGGTAAAACAGCTTCCTTGCTCTTTAACTGGAAAGCTTTTTTTTAATGAAGAGGGGAGAAAAAAAAAGTAGAATTAAAAGTAACCATACATCCCTCCGCTGCAAAGACCCACATAAAAATCCAGTATCCAAACGAAAGGCTTGTATATTTAGAAAAATAAAATAAAGCAGCCTATGTCTCCAAATTTCAGCCCGCAGTGCCTTCCAGGCAGCTCATTTCTATTCTTAGACTCAGGAAATTGCTTAAATAAGATAGAATTGCCAGGACCTTCTTTTTAAGAAAGGCTCTATTCAGGGTGAGGTTGTTGTTTTTGTTTTAGTATCTATAAATATCTATAGACGTTCTGTCCTGAGCCGGTTGCAAAGGCTGAGCCGGTCACTGCCTCTCTCTGCCCCCTCTCCCGGTTTTTTCACTTGGAGTGTCTGATCACAGAGCAGGAATTACGCCGTGCACTAGTTCAGCTCTGGCTCGTACTCATTCCTGCCTATTGCCGTCTCTGCCGCTCAGGGCCGCGGCGCTGGGGAGGTTTTATACCCCATTAATCCTGATTGACAGTTAAAGTGTCGGGGCGATTTCACTACTGTTCCTGGGAGTGGCTCTGCTCTGCCCTCCCCCGCCGGCCGCCGCCGCGCCGCCAGCTCGCTGCGGCTGGGCGGGCGCTGCCAGCGCGGCCGAGGGGGCAGGCCGCGGGCAAAGGGGCCAGCTGTGGGCACCCTGGGTCACCTGTGGGCAAAAGGGCCAGCTGCGGGCACCCTGGGTCACCTGTGGGCAAAAGGGCCAGCTGCGGGCACCCTGGGTCACCTGCAGGTGCCCTGGGTCACCTGTGGGCAAAAGGGCCAGCTGCAGGCACCCTGGGTCAGCTGCGGGTGCCCTGGGTCACCTGCGGGCAAAAGGGCCAGCCGCGGGTGCCCTGGGTCATCTGCAGGCACGCTGGGTCACCTGTGGACAAAAGGGCCAGCTGTGGGCACCCTGGGTCAGCTGTGGGCACCTTGGGTCAGCTGCGGCCAGCAGGGCCATCTGCGGGCACCCTGGGTCACCTGCGGGCAAAAGGGCCAGCCGCGGGTGCCCTGGGTCATCTGCAGGCACGCTGGGTCACCTGTGGACAAAAGGGCCAGCTGTGGGCACCCTGGGTCAGCTGTGGGCACCCTGGGTCAGCTGCGGCCAGCAGGGCCAGCTGCGGGCACCCTGGGTTAGCTGTGGGCACCCTGGGCTTGCTGTGGGCAGTCTGGCCAGCTGCAGACACCCTGGGCCACCTGTGGCCAGCAGGGCCATTTGCAGGCAGTCTGGGCCAGCTGCGGGCACCCTGAGTCAGCTGTGGGCACCCTGGGCTTGCTGGAGGCACCCTGGGCTTGCTGCAGGTACCCCAGGCCACCTGTGGGCACCCTGGGCTTGCTGCGGCCAGCAGGGCCACCTGCAGACACCGTGGGCCAGCTGCAGGCACCCTGAGTTAGCTGCGGGCACCCTGGGCTTGCTGCGGCCAGCAGGGCCATCTGCGGACACCCTGGGCCAACTGTGGGCACTCTGAACCACCTGCAGGCACTCTGAACCACCTGCGGGCACCCTGGGCTTGCTGTGGGCATGCTGGGCTCATGCCATGCTGGGCTTGCTCCCTGTTGCCCTGGCTCTCTCATGCATGCCACGCCGGGCTCTCTGCAGGAGCCAAAGTGCTCTGTCACCAAGCCAGCCCCTGCATCCTCCCTCACCTACACGCACCAGAAAGGTGCCCTGGTCTGACCTGAGCCCAAGGAAAAGCAGGTCCAGGAAGAACAGGGCTGAGGCTGAGTTCAAGGGAGCCATCTGTGCCACACAGAGCTTTGACAGGGAGCTGCTTGCCCAAGATCAGCTGGTGTGCGGAGGGCAAAGCTGCTTGCAGCCCTAGATCACCAGCTGAACCCAGCCTAGGCTGATGACCATCAATATCTAGTACCACTGGAGCAGTGTTTTTCTGGATAACATGATACCTCATGGATTTTCCATGCTGGAAGATGCTTGCATTGCTGAGAACTGGAGATTTAGCAGTGGGCAGTGAAAAAGGCAGCCTTGAATTGACAGAGGGAGACTCACCCTTCAAAAAAGGGTGGTTTCTTCCAAGACTTTTTTGTCCAATGATAAGGGCATACCCAGAAGGTCTCCTTCAAACTCCTGTAATAGGGGAAAGGGCAGAGTGTGATTACAGCAGGTCTCCCTGGCTGTTTGCACTGTTCAGCATTAGACAGGTAAGTTCTGATTTCAGGTTGTACAGATGAAGCTTTTCTGAGGAGGCTGTAACTGCACATTGATGCCCACCCAGGAGCTGTGGCAGCAATCAGAATTAACCTGAAACGCAAAGCTTTGAGGAGATCAAAAGATCTCAAGGATATCAAACCTCACAGGGTTGTCTTCACAGCTGGGATGGAAAGAAATTCAGGGTTATATCTGCAGGTATCACTAGGATTCATCAAAATGAATCCAAGTCCACAAGTTCACTCAGGTCTGGAGCTAGATGCACTATCCTGGGAAGCCATCTAGAGGTAAACACTGGAATCAAGGGAAAACTGCACTTAAAAACATTCTCTTAACTTCTTCACATCTCTAGTTACTAAAACATCACCTCAATGGACATTTGAATCTAAGAATCTGTGAGAGAGAGAGGTGAGTTTGGACGCCAAATCCCTTTTAAAAATGAACTCACTTTTCTTCTTTGGAATCAAACAGGTATTTTTGAAAGCAGACATTCAAAGTGGCCATGTGGGAACAGAATGTTCAGGAGTTTTTTGTTGGCAGAAAAAAAGGCAGCCAAGTTTCTGGTGCCCTCCACATTCAACAGCTCTGTCACACATAGATTTTTTGATAAAAAATACGAAAAATACCTAAATCCTTGAATTTCATCTCTTTAAAAGTTCCACAAAAGTTTTAAGGGAAGGAAAAAAAGAAATAAAATTGAGAAGAGAAACTTGCACAATTTTTACCTTTAACTGTCAGGTTACCTCATATGAAATAAGCCATATGACTGTCACTGCATAATCATAGTGCCAGGAGAGGGTTTTGAAGAGAGGATGAAGCATCCCAACTGGGAAGTGTCTGTACAGAATCAGTGAGTGTTCCCTAACTCAGCTGCATCTGAGCCAACCAGAGAATTTCCGTGGCCTGTTGGCAGCATTTAGCACCTTGGTGTGTTTTTACAGTAATACCTCTAGAAATGCAGCTCGGGGAGGCACCTGGCATTGCAATTTTCCTCTCAGTACAACAGCTCTGGAAGGGAGAGAGAAATTACCCAGAGAACCCAGTGTCTGGCTTAGACAGGAATGACTCAGTGTCTGGACTGGGAACAAATATAACAACTTCGGTACGGAAATAAGGAGCCGTGTTGAAAATGAAAGGATGTGAACTCCATCGAAGTATATTTGGGTTTTTTTGATTCCTGAGTTCAGTCTCTTTGTGCTTAAAGCACCACAGATACAGTTAAAATAGAAAACTCATCAATACTGCAGATATAACTTGTTTAGATTTAAAAGAAAATTAATTATGAATGTAAAACATTTGCAGGTCCTTTGAAGCCAGGGGGAATGGAATAATCTTGTGGGCATTTATTTCATGTGTCTATTTCCAGCTTGAATAACAATCTAAATATGTGTTTCAAGAGATTTTTTTTATTCATTATGATTTTGGCCTATGTACAAAGTTGCTACCAAATTTGGATTGGGAGTTAAAAAACAGTTCTAGATATATAACATTTTCCTAACCAGCTCTTCAAATTTCATTGAAGTATGAACTATTTTACTTCTTTACTGCTTTAGATTTACCTTGAAGCAGTTAAAACTAGTAGATGCTACATTGTACAAACCCACAAAAACAAGAAGCAAAAGCAGATTTATAGTAAAACTGAAGTTAGTGCATCTTGCATGTAGTAAATAAAAACTATATGCAAGTTATTTTAAAATTCATGTGATTTAACCAAAAAGTCAAATAGCTTTAAATACTACACATACTATATGTGAGAGCATTAGAACTTTAGAGGTATTTCCCTTTTAATTGCAGTTCAACTCTGAAAAGGGGGGGAAAAAAAAAGGAATGTTCTGGAATTTCACCTGATTTTTGTACAGCAACCACTACACTCTTTCTTGGCAAGATGTCCTTTTCCAAACTGTCACCTTTACAAAACCAACATGAACTTTTACTCACAAAGTCCATCTCTGTTAGTGAGACTCCCTGAAGTACACTTTCACACAGGGCTGATTGTCCAAGGTGTTTTCCCTGCTGCAGGTACAAAGGGGTGCTCAGCACACACCTTTGTGAGGGTAACAAGGATCTGTCCCATCACAGCCTTCTCTCTAATTATCAGTCCCAGGCTGGCCCAAAGTGAATCCCACCCATGTTTACACTCAGAATTCCTAAACCAGTGCCCTGAAACATTCCATAAGCAGGCATGTTAATTCTGTGAAATTGCATCATCTTCAGAATTAATTTTGCATTTTCAGCAGTTGTTTCTTACACAGACACTCACAACAAAGCATAAACTGAAAAAACAACCAACACAACAACTTTTTAAAGCCATTATCATGGCACTTTTAACTATGTTTATTCCAGTTTATGAGAGCAAGAAGGTAGTCAGGCTGTCTGGCACAGAGTGGGATTCTTCGGGTGGTCCTGTGCAGGGCCAGGAGTTGAACTTTGATGATCCTTATGGATATGTTCCAACTTGGGATATTCTATGATTCTGTGTAATGTATTTCAGTGGTAACTCAAGCCAGTTTTGGCTTCCATGTGTTGGTTTGGGTTTCTGGGTTTGTACTTGTGTAGCTTTTGGACTGTACTTAGTGTGGATTTACTCATATTCTCAATAAGTGTCATAGTCATAGATTTTTTCTGACTTGTGGTGGCTTGAAGGAAAAAACAGCAGTGAAAAGCACATTTACCTCCAAAACAAGTTGATACACTCTCTATACACATCACTTACGTGACAAAGCTCCATTTTTGCAGAATGATGTTACCTGGATCTCTGAAGAGGCTCAGGCAGTGTCTGAATGCTCACAGTTCATGCTGCACCTGTATTTATAGGCAGAACTGTGCTCACAGAGCCTTTGCAGCCAAGTTTCTACCAGCCTTGGAAGGTTGTTTGTACAAATGAGGTTGCTAAACTGCAAGAACTTTCAAAAGGAAAATGAGCTGGAAATTAAAACTATGCTTGAGGCACTTCTGAAAGCCCTTTGGGCTAACAATTCTGCGTTTTCAACTTAAAAAGTCCCACTCAGATATATACAGTGCAAACCTGGGAACACAGAGCAGCAGTTCCACAATAGAAAGGCTGTGTGACTACGGTGTCAAGTAATTCAATTTTTTTACATCAGTGGAGGGGTTTTTATCATAGACAATCTATCATGATCACAGAATAAAACTTAAAGCTCCTTTAAAATAAGAAAATCTTTTGCCAAGCTGATCTGGTTTTTGTTAGATGAAGTACTGCTGTCAGATTTGGATAAATCAAGAGCTAAATTTTTGTGCTTCTTGATTTCATTTTTCCCTTGTGTTCACATTTTCCTTTTGAAATGTGTCCCAGTGGTTCTGTGATTTCACACTGTCCTTCTATATGCTATTAAGAGTCTGATACTGTTGCCTTCTAAGTTCTGCCATGGACTAAGCTCAAAGGAAATGGGTTTCTGGTTAACATCCAGCCTGACAGAAAAGACTGCGTCAGGCCTTTTACAAAAAGCTGCATTTTGATGTCTTAGGGCTTTCCCAGAGTCTTACAACAAAGCGGTGTCATGGGTAAAGATATAAAAATGTCTTACTGAGTAAGTCTAAATTCTAGGTAACATCCCTTTCTAGACTCAGATGTAAAAATAATTGTCTTTATAAGCAGAAGTTTACACAGTGCTCACAGGGGCTCTCTAGAATTCAAAGGGATGCAATCTCACCTATGTGGTACTTGTTCCACTTGCCGAGTTGTTTTCATACATGTTAGAATTTGCCATTTGTTGTAACTGCACTTGGTTTTCCTCACCTATCTGTGGTTAGAAGCCAGATCTCTCAACATCTTAGGCTGCTTCAAGAGAGATCAATGCAAAAATACCCCACGTGAACAGGAATGGAGTGATCATGTTTGTTAACCTGATTGACTCGTCTTGCCTCCTCTTTGGTGCCTTTACTGACTTTTAGGCCAGTGAATATTTACCCATTCCTTCTGACTAACTCCTCAGTCCTGACAAAACTTCTAAGACATACAAGGAACTGGGGAAACAGAAGAATTATGTCTTTAAGGCTCTTAAAATTAGAGAAAAGTCCTGAAATCCTACTAAACCAATGTGACATCAATTTTGACACAAACTGAACAGCAAGCTAATGCCTGTAACAAGTTTGCACTGGTAAATTGTAAACTAGCTTAGAAAGGAAATCTCAGGATAAAATATTCCCTGAATTCCTTCTAACAATGTCTTTTTAAAAGAATTCCTTACATGCAGCTGTAACTTCTTTTCAGAGGGAGAGGTTCACTAATATTTACTGAGATGAAATAATTCAGGGCCTCTAACTGTCTGAAGCTTCTTCAAACTTGACAGTTTTACAAAGGATATGAAAAAGAACAGGAATGTTAGGAAGAGAATGGTGCTGTCAAAGGCAAACAATTTTGATTGGGAGGCTAGGATAGGTCATGTGTATGAACTGATGTGGGGAAATAAGATCACACGAAAATCAATAAACCCCAACCTAGATATTACCTCACAGAATGTAAAAGTAGTGTTAATTTTTGCTTTAGTTTATGTTGTTTTGTTTTTTAAAAATCACTCAAGTTAGTGTAGCCCGACAGGTCTGGATGGAGTAGGGCTAGGAGGGGCTCAGTGAAGTGTCCTGCACCTCAGCAATGGAAGAGATCATTTATTACCCAGCTTAGTCAGTTCATTTGCATCAGAATTGGAAGGATGACTGTGATGACAAGGTCCAGGCCTGCTGAGTTAAACTGAGAATTCCACGTTATTGCTTAAATAGATTTCATTATCTTCTTATCCTTAACACCTTTTCTTTCTTTCTTTCTTTCTTTCTTTCTTTCTTTCTTTCTTTCTTTCTTTCTTTCTTTCTCTCTATCATCTATCTATCTATATTTATCTATCTATCTATATCTATCATCTGTCGCCCTGATTTTGTAAGACTTTGTTAAGCCTTCTGATGTTTGCATTCTTTCAACAAACTTTCTCACACACAGTTCTGTAAATAACCTATGTTTTGCATTCTTTCATGGAGGTGG